AACTTTAAAATAACAATTCTTAAAAAAAAAAAACTACCTTCATATGATGTCACTTTTCATGAGAGAGTTTAAAAGAAACTATAATAGTATAAATAAATGTCAAGGTCAGTCAACTTGAGCGAAAGATTTTAATCTCCGCCATTCCCAACTTTACTTTCCTACATAGATATATATATATATATACAGAGTGCGATGGTAAATTGTCGCCGTATTATATTTTTAATTTTGCGCATGCGCTTTGTTTGTTTTTGATTTTCTCGTTTGTATAGTAGGGTCAGTTGGGCACAGCATTTCACGCCGACAGAAATTTGGCATTCTCACCAGAAGCTCCAATACTAACATTTCAGAGTATTTGAGCGTCAATCTGAGGATAGTGTAGAGGATTAAGAAAAAGTTGGATGAGTCTAATGGTGATTACGAAGGTACGACAGCTCGGGAAATTCACTCTGATCCTTATGATAAGAAAAGTACTCCCGAATTTGTTGGTGATGGCTTCAGACTAAACACCGAGAGCTACATCAATTGCCTTGAAGAGGCCGGGTTGCCCTGGGTCAAGTGGGTGGCTGCTGGGAGACCATATGTCTGGCAACAGGACTCTGCATCATGCCACACAAGCAGGAGAATCCAGTCATTGCTGTCAGACAATTTCTACGACATACTTACATCTCGCCACTCAACTCCCCAGACTGCAACCTCCCCACCCCCCCCCCTTGATTATTATGTGCGGAGCACAGTTGAGCAAGAGACCAACAAAACCCCTTGTAACATCAAAGATAAACAGAAGGCAAATATTATGGCAACATTCGCCAACTTAAACAAGGAAACCGTCCAGAAGAGATGCAGGAGTTCTGAAGACATCTGGAGGTCGTGGTTGAAGCCAATAGCGATTTTATTGAATATATTTACTCTGTAGAGTTTCAAAATATTTTGGGGTAATTTTTATGAGATGTCAGGGTTCATTTTGCGTAATTAAGACGACAATTTTTCCATCGCAGCCTCTCTCTCTCTCTCTTTCTCTCTCTCTCTCTCTCTCTCTCTCTCTATATATATATATATATATATATATATATATATATATATATTCATCTTTCTAGAATATATATATATATATATATATATATATATATAATATATAGGTGAATATATATATATATATATATATATATATATATATATATATATATATATATATATTCACCTATAAAGATGTAGATCTGAACCCTACTGAGAGAACATTCTTTAGTAAGTGGATGTAATTTATACTGTTTATGATGACACATGAGTAGTGGGATATATATATATATATATATATATATATATATATATATATATATATATATATATAATTATTTTTAAAGACGCACTGTCATTATAAACAGTGTATATTCTTTAGTAAGTGGATGTAATTTACACTGTTTATGGTGACAGTGCGTCTTTAGAAGTGGGATATATATATATATATATATATACTCGACTCTCCCGTTGAATTCGACGTATGGGGGTCAAGCAGATCAGTTCCTAGGAAACCCACAGCCCGACAACAGCATAGTGGTGAAGGTTTCCTGAAGGACCATCCACGCTTTTTGAAGGGGCGAATACAGAAACCTAGTGCACCTAGTCCATGTGAGAGACCCCTTGCTGCGTTCTATCAATATGGCTGATGCTAACCTCTATGAAAGTGACTCTTTGTGCCTTCTCGGGCTAACGTTCTCAGATGACATGATGTGGAAAGGCTATATTGAATCTACTGCTAGGTCAGCTGCTAAGAAAGTCGGTTCAATGTGTCGTTCGAGAAAATTCTCTCCAGGATCTATCATACATATCTGTAAGCTTGCCATACGTCCATGATTAGGATACTGCTAAGAAAAAGTCCGGTACACTGATATTTACCTTTAGCTCCTTGATGAAATCCAAAGAAAAATCAGCAATATTATTCGTCCTGATCTGGTAGCTCGGCTTCAGTCACTTACACACTGCCATAAGGTTGCCTTTCTGTGTCTTTTCTAAAAAATACTTTCATGGTAATTGTTCGGATGAACTTTCCGATATGGTATCTAGACTTTATGAATTTAAGTGCAGTACTAGATTGGCGTTGAGGTCTCATCAATTTACAATTGAACTGGCTAGAGATGTAGCCGTAAGTTCTATGTTGACATTTTCTTTTCTTGCACTTTTCGCTAGTGAAAATTCTTTCCGGTTCTATGCATTCCAGCGAAGTTTAATCGGTAAAAATTTAAATGCAAAGTCAATCGCTATCTAACGTCCCCTTAATTACTCTTTTCTCTTTCCGCTCATTATTAATGTTTCTGTTCCTAATCCTTCCACACCCTGTAACCCCTTGCGTCTTAGTGGCTTTACTGCCTTGCATGGTTTGATACCGATTAAAAAAATAAAATAAAGTTATGTTTTACTAAAGATAAAAATATTATTAACATGTGTTTGTATTCACTTCATGCACATGGTATGTTTCTCAGCGACTAACTTAAACGTGAATATGCGAGTGCATTCCTGTGCATAATACAATCCCCTGACACTCTCTCACTTAACAAGACTATCGCAGCGAAAAAGCTGTTGCCACCATAGTCAACCTCGACAGGAGTCAGTCAAGCAAGTGTACAATATGCGGTGGTATTACAAATATCTTTTTATTAAATCTACTTGTGGGCATTTTCGACCGGATCATTTGGCATGCCTACATGGCGCTACATGTTCGTAGAAATTGTTTGTAAAGACTGGGTTCAAATCAAGAGTCACTAATCCGAATAGAATGGCAATTACAAAGGATATAATATTAACCCTTAATACTAAATTGGGATTAGTCTCACCCAAACTACTGCCGGGGTGGGGGGCATTCAAAATTATACCACGCAGCCGATTTTGAATAAACTGCTCAGAAAATGTTTACATTTCTGGACAACATATATACATACATATATTATTTTAATATATTTATTTTTTATACATTATTTTTATAGATACAAATATTTAAGTAAATTCTCTGTTTATAATAATTACCAACATTTTCTGGCCTGGATACAGAGCATGTCTTTATATATTTGTATCTATAAAAATAACGTATAAACAATAAACTTATTAAAATAATTGTCGGACTTAGTGCATTTTATAAAATATGACGTCATTTGTTTACGTTAAAATACGCATCGAGCAGATATGAACGTTCGAGGCAAATCTTAGAAAGTTTGTAGTTTAAAAGAAGTGATTCAACCTTGATAATCAGACGCGACCTTCTTAGCTAAACTGGTATAGCACGTCAGGCTAGATGACGGTTCCGTTTAAGATGCAGGTTCGATTCCTGTCAATTTGTATGAAATTTCTCGGGCATTCAGTCCGGTAAATGTTGTTAATACTGTTTGTTATAAACAGAGCATTTACTTAAATATTTGTATCTATAAAAATAACGTATAAACAATAAATATATTAAAATACATACATATATAAATATGTTTAGGCGTAAACCATTTAAAAATAAAAGAAAACTGTTAGATCAAAAGCATCTGCTATTTCAAAATAGATACATTCATAAGTATTTCATCAAATTAAAATAAAATCATGTATAAAAATTAAGTTAATAAATAAATAAATAAGAAAATAGAAAATCAACAACAATAACACAATTGACTTAGCATCGTTTATTAGGCATTAAATTACTGCACTTAGCACCCTCCATAGTTTACCTTGAATTTCACACTTTGCATGAACAATATTTATTAGCGTTTCTTAAATTTAAAATACCTTAAAAAAACTAACGATATTGTTACTTCTGTGTATAAAAACTTGTTGGAAAATAAAACATCTACATTTGCCTTGATAAAGTCTATCAGAGGATGAAACACGACGGTAAGGAAAAGTTTTGGTACACACGTCAATATTTTAAACTATCTACATTTTAAAATATCTGTGCAGTATTTAAAATTAATTTTATTAAGGTTTGTTTTCAATTTTTTAATATAGATACCTTCGAGAATTTTTAGTTTAAGTCTATTATTACTTAATATTTTTTTTTAAATCTTGTTACATCATAACTTAGTTGTCTCCCCTGAAGTGCTACCGCTATTGCACTTAACTCACTAGTAAAAAAAATTAACTTTCCGATGAACACATAAATTTTGTCTTTGAAAATGAAGACCACTACTATCTTTGTTTTTTAAAAAAAACAACATACTGGTGATGACACTGTGTTAATGTCGAAAGTACTCGAAAAAAATAAATATGTATGAACACGGTAATTTTCTCTTTTTCTTTAATAATGACACTAAAATGTTCGTCCGTGAATATGAAAGGATCCAACTGAAAATAAGAAGACAAAACTTTATATATATATGTGTGTGTGTGGGTGGGTGTATGCGTGATTAAAGGGTACAGACATTTTGTGAATTTGTCGGCAATGAGGTCAACTCCAAGTGGCGGCATTTTGTTTCATACTTGAACACTCTCTTCAGACATAACCATAAGCATGAAACTGACTGTTGCCACTCGGCGTTGACCTCGTTGTCCATATATATATGCACACACACTATTCCTGATATGCACCACTTTTACCCATAAGTAAAGTATACTATAAAACTATACACACACACACACACACACACACACACACACACACACATATATATATATATATATATATATATATACCCACAGACACTATTCCTGATAGGCACCACTTTTACCCATAAGCAAAGTATACCATAAAACTATATATATATATATATATATATATATATATATATATATATATATATATATATATATATATATATATATATGTATTCAAAAGAATAGACGTTCTATAACTATTGAATTCATCTGTCGTCTTTTTAACAACCTGGGAATCAACTTCTTCAAATTGGCTGCTACTAATTCTAACTGTTATAACAATGCCAACAAACAATTCCAAACACACTTCACTTACAAATTATATAAACTTTATATTAACTTTTAAAAAATTGTTTAATAAAACTGTAATACAACAACAATTGTTATCTGCTTATACGATAGATAGATAGATAGATAGATAGATAGATAGATAGATAGATAGATAGATAGATAGTAATCGTAATATTAGTCGTTTCCCTACAAGGAAACATTTGCCATTCACTGACCGAGCAACCAGTAATACCTTCCTTTGAAATTTATAAAATATTTCTCATAAAACAATTTTTTTAGGAAAACAAACTTCTCAAGCCCAATTGTAGTTATTGCTTTTTCCAGTATTGATGGGCGTTTCTTTCCTTTTATTTGAAATAGTGTGGAATGTTAACATCTTCATTATTTCATTATCTTCTGTTTGAGTTACATGTGCCATTCATTTTAGCTGTTGCTGCTGCTGCTGCTGGTATTCATCCAATAGTAGTTTCTGTAATTTGGTATAATTCTTTGTGAATCTGTAGCGACAGTTCAGAATGTTCAAAGAAAGATGATTTTTTGCCATTACCCTCAGATTTCACTCGGTCAAAGCCTTTTTCACCATTGATCTTAGGAATCGATTGTATACAGCTGACAGTTTAGATATTTCTGAAAGGGTTTGGCGCCATCCATGATATCCATACAATATAATAGTATACTAGTAAATTGAATTATTTTCCTGTATTCAGTTCCCCCTATATCAGTGTGTGGTAACGAGCGTTCCTTATCCAGTCTGAACATTAAGCAAAGTACATATCAGCATAAAAAACCCACGCAAGAATCATAGGGCTACACCTGCGGATCTACCGATTCGCATGCATACATTTATTTATTTTAAGCTAATATTTCAAGGCACCTGATGCGAAAACGTCAGAACACAGGCACAAAATATATATATATATATATATATATATATATATATATATATATATATATATATATATATATATAGTCTGTATTTGAGGCATTTAGGATTGGTTCCCACGCTAAAATGACTGATGTGCAAAAAGTGGTCCCTATGTCGGTATCTACCCGTTACCCGATAGCCCAGCTTAAATCCTGGTTCATTTAGCTACCCGGCCCCAAGACACCCCTACCGTCATACCTATCACATTAGCAATTCTTGCAGTGCTAAATTTAGAAACAGTTGTATTAGGATTCTCTCGAAAAAAAGGAACAGACTGGTTGATCTATTTACGTCTTCTTCATTGGATTCCGTCTCAAATTTTCAACATGGAGTTGTTGTTGTTGTTGTTATTACTATTATCATTATTATTATTATTGTTGTTCTTGTTGTTGTTGTTGTTGTTGTTTTACGCGTTCAGTTTTGTAAAATATAAACATTACTAAAACCTACAAATTATAGGAAGCTGTGAAGAACCATGACTGCACATATCACGAAGGCACACAGAGAAGAAAAAGTAAAAAAAATTGGAAGAAGAAGAAGAAAAAGTAGATGTAGAAGGAAAAAAAAGAAAAAGTACAAATAGAAAAAGAAGAAGAAAAGGTTGAAGAAGAAGAAGAAAAGGTTGAAGAAGAAGAAGAAAAGGTTGAAGAAGAAGAAAAGGTTGAAGAAGAAAAGGTTGAAGAAGAAGAAAAAATGGTTTAAGAAGAAGAAAAGGTTGAAGAAGAAAAAGAAATGGTTGAAGAAGAAGAAAAGGTTGAAGAAGAAGAAAAGTTAGAACTGTAGAAGAAGAAAAAGAAGAAAAGGTTGAAGAAGAAGAAAAGTTAGAACTGTAGAAGAAGAAAAAGAAGAAAAGGTTGAAGAAAAAGAAAAAGTAGAAGAAACAGTAGAAGAAGAAAAAGAAGTTGAAGAACATGAAGAAATGGTAGAGGAAGAAGAAAAAGAAGAAGAAAAAGTAGCAAAGAAGAAGAAGAAAAAGTTGAATAAAAAAGAAGAAAAAGAGGTAGAAGAAGAAGAAAAAGTAGTAGTAGTAGTAATAGAGAAAGAAGAAGAAGAAGAAGAAGGTGACCGCTGAAGTTAGAGGTTAAACCACAGGAAATCCCTTTAATATTAATTATATTTACAGAGTGTATCAAAAATACTTTTACAAAATTTGGGGGTAAGTTCCTATTATGTAAAATATACAACACATAATATATTATACATGAATTCATTTCTCAAAATAAATTAATATAAATAATAATTACATTATATAAGAAAAATTAACATTTACTTCACTTATTCGAGATTAAATCGCATCATTCAGCAGCCTGGATAATTTATCTTGACTTGCAGTCAACCTGATGAATATTTATGAGCGTTCTGAAATGTAAAACTTCTGAAATCTAACGATATTTTTACTTGTGTATACGTGTTGCAAAAAATCATCAGATTTGCCTTGATAAAATCCATCAGAGGACAAAACGCATTGGCTAAGATAAGTTTTCTTTTTATCTTCGGATTCACAATTGTTGCTATTCAAAAGCGTCTAGAATAATTTGAAACCTAACCGTTACTGCCTCCCTAATAACCTTACTACCCATAATGCACCATTGACCAGCATATATAAATAGACGAGGCTAAAACAAAATTGAATATCCTAGATTAAATTAATTGACTTAGCTCATCATCTCATAATTTAAGCTTAATGAGAATCTCTCTGTAGGATTTGTTTGCTTTTATCTGCCTCTGTATTACAACTATTTGGTATTCTTGGGATTTTACATCACCGATTATGTATTATTATCTTTTTCTTTCTCTTTTTACAAGATGCCAGCTTATCCTCAGATATCCAAAGAATTTTTTCTCCTTTTTTTCTATTTTTTATTATCAAACTGAAGACGTCAAAGAGGAAACACATTTTCTTTTGTGTCTAAAATAAAAAATAAAAAAAAATTCCCTTTGGTCACATCATCATAACTTTCGTCAAGGATACATGGCACAGTGGATAAAAGTCGTTGGTTAGATCCAGTGACAGGACACAAAGTGTGTGAGTTCAATACCCGGTTAAGGCAGTGGAGAACTTTCAGAGGGAAATTAACAGGAGATAACTGATAACTGACATCCATTAAACATGGCACGTGGAACTAGAACAGTCTACCCCAGTGAGCAAAATAAAGGGTTCAGTTCGACATTCTAACCACCAAGAAAGCCGGACCGTACAACGGCCGAAACGTTGTAATAAATATGGCGACAAAGATGAGGACAATAGTCCGAATAATGTAAATAATATATATATATATATATATATATATATATGGGAAAACGATATATAAATTTTTAAATATCACGATCAATTTCAGGGAAATATACATTTGACATAATTTATATATATATATATATATATATATAATCTACATATATTATATATATATCTGTGTGCATATATATATGTATATGCATGTATATACATATGTGTGTGTTTGTATATATATATATATATATATATATATATATATATATATATATATATATATATAATCTGTGCATCAAAGAGTTGGCCTAATATTCTGCAATAATATAGTGTCTCATATCAGCAATCACCATCAAAATTTGAATCATGTCCTTCCATTTCATTTTCCCACGCAAATCCCAAGCACACACGCGCGCACGCACTCACAAAACCATTCAGCATAATCTCATCTGCGCTCTGTTACATACTTACGGTAAATACTGAATTCATACACTCACATCTTTAATTGTAAGTATACACACACATACGGCCTCACACAATGGATCTTGTGTAACATTGCGAACAAGTCATTAGCATACGTCTCAGTCTACCGCACCAGCTGTTGTACAAGTGGAGGTAAAGCCTGCGATTTAATCAAAACTGAATGCGTTATAGCCTCAAGGTTAACAGTTTTGTATAAAATTATTTCTTGAAGATAGGAAACGTTTTGACTTTTCTATACATGAATCATTTTCACAATTCATTAATTCACGTCTTTGACATTTAATCGTCTTTTCTTTAGCCAAGAGGAGATTTTTCCCCCTCGAGGGCTGACACACTTGTATCAGTGTTTAAGCTTCGAGCTGTGTGGTTTGAGTCAGCTATATTAATTATTGTATCACGTTCAACAAGAACAGGAACTTTCTGGAACTATGGATCTTTCAAGTTTATGGCCAATTATTTGATCGATGATTTGATTTTTATTCTTACAAGGTCTCCGAGTTGAGTTAACTTTTGTAAAAATATTTTTAAACTATTGTAAGTCCGATGCCTTGTTTTAATTCTTGCGTAGTTTAGGATTTTTAACTGATATTTAACTGCTTTTTTTAAAAAAATCATTTCACCCCAAACAAGAAAATAGTGCCACTAAGCGGTTACTGAATGTTAGAGAATATGAGAAAAACTACTATTAAGGAGAGAGGATAATAAGAAGAATAAGAATTAAGAAGATAGAAGATAATGGTTGACATTACATTTCAATTTTTGAAGGTCAAAATTGACTGGGAAGCAAGAAGCCTGAAGAGAGTTTTCCAATCGAGAAGAAAAACTGTTAGCATAGAACTTACGGTTACATCTAGGCATTGCAACTGTAAAATGATGAGACCTAGCTGCCAATCTAGTACTGCACTTAAATTCATAAAGTCTAGGTACAATAGAGGAAAGTCGATCAGAACAATTACCAGGAAAGTATATGTATAAAAGACATTGGGAAGCTATGTTACGGCGGGGGGAAAGCGACTAAACCCGAGGTTAAGTCCAATAACATTGCAGATTCTTCTTTGTACTTCATCAAGAATCACTAAATATATAGACCAAATGTGGCAGCATTATTCAAAGCAAGGACAAATAGTAGACAATTAAGATAGATACTGGCAAGAAAAATAGTCTAGCACAATGAAACAACTTTCTTAGCTGCAGATTTAGCAATTGATTTAATATAATCTTTCCAGTTCATGTCATCTGAAAACGTTAAAAGAAGAAGGCGCAACGAGTCGCTCTCCTGGAGGTTAGCATCAGCCATGCTGATGGAATATAAAGAATGTTCTCTCAGATGATTAAAACAGGGTAATTTCGTTTTTGAGACGTTAAAATTAACAAGCCACTTCTTGCCCTATTTAACAACAAACTGTAGATCATTATTTAGCTCAGTTGCCAATTTGATGTAATGAAGCCGACCTGAGTTGCTATTAAGGCACGATTAAATAGTTGTGTCACCAGCATAAATACCGAGTTGTGAAGGTCATTTATGAAAATGAGGAACTTCGTAGGTCC